CGCAGTCGGTAGCGGCGCAGGCGGCGGCGGCGGAACAGCGCACACCGCATCCGGCGCCTTCGCAGCCCCAGCAGCAGCAGCGGCCACCGCAGGAAGCAGCAGAGGCACCCTCGTCATCACAGCCCCTGCGCTGGTGCAGCCACCCTCGCTCCCTCGGCGCTTCCTCTCTTCGCTGGCACCATGGTAGGTCGCGAGGAGCAGACGCCGGCGCAGCAGCTGCCCATGCTGTTTTCCTTCCTAGGTTTTTGGTTTAGTTCTTTTTTCCCTTTTCTTGGAGTGTGAAGTGTTTTTTTCTTTTCCGGTTGTTACGCAGCAGCTGAGGATAAGGACGCATTTCAGATTTGCATGTCGATTTGCTTGGTCAGGGATCCTCATTTAAATTTTGGTCTCGTCCCCCTTGGAGCGGGTCTTAGCCGTCCGTTGGCCGCGTAGGGGGCTCCGGCCGCAGCTGCACCGGGGCCTTCCGCATACACTCCCCCCAACCCCGCACCCACGGCCTCCGGCGCGCCGTACCCGGTTGCTGGTAGCGCCGCGCCTCGGTAGGACCCTCAGGAGGGGGGTCCGGGCGGGACTGAGCATAGGTTCCCCACCCCAGGCCGGAAGGCGGCGAGCTGCGGAGAATGAATGGATTGGGGCAAGCCGGTGGCGCACGTTGCCCGGGCCGGGGTGGGGGTGCCGTCGGCTTCCGCCCCTCCCCCCCGGCCGAATCGGCGGGGCGCTTTCCCTGATCCGCGCTCTCCTCCTCCCGGGGGGCACGGCGCGGGCGTGGGCTGGGAAGGAAGGAGTCAGGCAGGGTGGGGTGGGGGCAGGAAGGCGAGGGGTGGGGGGCGGAGAGGGCGGAAGCGCGGGCCGGCAGCTCTGCGCCCGGGCGGAGCCCCGCGGCGTTGCTGGGCTCTTGTCTCCGGGTTTCGCACCACTGCAGCCCCCACTTGATACAGCAGTGCGGGCTCGCGGGCCGCGGAGCGCTGGAGGCCCTCCCGCGGGAGGCGCCCTGTTCGCGCTAATTGGGGCGGGGGGGCGGGGGAGGAGGGAGCTGGCGCGCGGCGCGGTTTCCATTAGAGACGCGAAGTTTCTGCTTCGGGAGGAGGCGGTGCGGCGGGCTTGCAGCCGTCGGAGCAGTAGCGGGTGGGAGGCGCAGGGTGGCGCTCTTGGCCCCCGCCTACCTTGCGCTCCGGGATGCTAGTGAGGAGCGTCCTGGCCAAGGAGGGGCAGCGCCCCCAGGCCTCCAGCCCTCGGGGCGCTCAACCCTGCCTGGCCTCGTGCCTGGTCTTTCTCCCGCTCCGCTTCCCAGTCCCTAGGGAGATGTTCTCCATGGTTTCCGCTTTCTCTGCAGCTCTATGCGCCTCGCTGGGTGTGTTTCCACGGCCCTCTCCTCCCTCGCCGGCATGGCTGACATTACCGGCAGTATTTTATGGCTTTGCGGGGTGGGGTGATAGTTCCCGGCCGGGTTAGGGAGCACCTTTGCCCTCCAGGAGGGTTGCGGGGTGGGGTGGGGGGGTGCGTCGTCGAGGAAGGCGGATGCGGAGGTGGCACTGTTCTCTACCCTGTAAGGTGACAGTATCTCTTGCGAGGTGTGGCAGCGCTTCCTGCTGTACAAGACAGACGTCTCCCTGGCATTATGTAAATCATCTCATCGTGTCTCCTTAGGGTGATTCAAGGAAAACTTCCAGTGACTGGAGTAGAAAGAAAGGAAGACCCAGTCTTATGGGGGGGGAAATAAAAAGTTGTTTTTCCCTCAAATCAGTATGTTGGAGAGCATTGCTATTGTGAAAGTTTCCATTTTAAGAGTTCGAATGCAAGTAATGTCAGCTTTGCCTTAGGGTTTACCTCGGAACCGACTTCAGTAGGCGTCCTTTCCTTAACACTGGAATAGGTACTCCTTGAACCTCGAGTTCCCCTGGCTAAAGGCACAGGTTCAGTGTTGCAGAGACCAAATAATGCAAGTGAGAATTAGCTCAAGCCCAGTGTGTGTGTTCCTCTTATGTCATCCTTAAGGTGGGAAGGGTCAGTCATGGCCAGCAAATAGTTCACCACCTCTAGAAAAGAGAGGGACACACTCTGGTAGTTTCCTGTTGCTTAGTTTTTGCATTTTTTTAATTGCTCAGTTGTAAGACTTTTAGCTTGGCTTCTGCATGGCAGGGTTTGTCAGCGGTAGTAGGCTTTTAACAAATAACTGCCTAATTTAAATGATTGGAAAGCATTTATTCCATGGGAACTGAAGTTGGTGAGGTAACCCATTGCTGTATGTTTGCTTTTTTCTCTTAATTGTATCTCATAAAATGGAACCAAAAGCCTGTTAATCCGCCCAGTGCCATTACATAATGGCAGTTGGCAGATCTGGAGCATCCGCAGCCGTGCACAAGGTGTGCTAAAAAGCCTGACCCTGGATGCCATCCTGGGGGCTGGCTGCGGAGGCGCCGCTGTTGGGCTGGGTCACTTCTTGCATGCAAGTGGGGACTGCGGCGGCGTTGCTGGTGCAGTAGGTGGCGCTCTTTCTCAGAGCCTGCCACTGCAGCCAGTTCCATGGGGGCCTTTTGCCACTAGAGGTGCCATTTTTCAAATTATGAACTGACCCTCCCTAGTTAGACCTCGTTGCGCTCAGGGCAGGCCCAGCAAAGAAATCCTGCAGCAGCACATGGCTGTTACTGCCTTGCTGTTTTTTGATTTTGAAGTAAAGAGTCCTCTTTATTCTAACTGCCTTCACTAAGTGACAAAAATAAGATTCTCAAAGATTGATTTAAAAAGAAAAAGTTGATTTTGAAAGCGCACAACATTGAAAGTGTAATTGGGTAAACGACATGCTTCCCCTGCTGTCGGGACTGAATCACAATCTTTCCTTTCTCCATGTAGGCTGATCAGCTGACCGAAGAGCAGATAGCTGGTAAGTGGACGACCCCAGGAAGTCCCTGGAAGGTCAGAAGTAGCTGCCAACTTAGTTTTAGTGACTCCTTCCTGGCCCCCACCCCAGTCTGAGTAGGTTTCTCAAAATTTATTCAAATGAGAACAGTGAGAAATACTCAAGTCAAGAGTTAACTCTTGCTTGCCAATGTTTTGGAGAGAATAAGATGGAAGGAAGTGGACCGCGGACCCATTCATGACAACACTGAAATGCACTGTGCCTTTACACCTGAAAGTTTATCCGAACATTCTTGCACTGCGGGTCTTTTAGTCTTCCACCTCGAGAACTTAGCTTCCTGTCCTAGCGTTAGGGAAATGGGGGGGTGGGAGGAGTGTTAGGACTGTTGTCATAAACTGGGAAGGGAGTTCCATTAGTTTTGATTTTAGCATTTAGTATTCCCTGGAGGACTTGCTTTGAGAAAGTTTCTCTTTATAAAACCAGAAATGCTTCTCAGATATTCTGAACACTTGTGAGAACACGTGGGTTACCTGGGAATGCCCATTTTGAGCAAGCTTTGCATGTTGCCAGGAAATAAGTAGTGCCTGTGGCTGTAGACATTTACCAGGCAAGGAAGGAACTTCACGGAACACAAGGGCCAATCTTCACGTGAGCGAATGGACCTAGGAGTGGTTTAAGCATGTTTAAGCTTAGCCTTCTTTACAAATGGGAGAAGATAGTGGTTTTATGGAATTGGTCATCAGGAACGATGTTTGCTTTATGGACTGTCTCACAAAGACCAGTCTGACGAGACTCCTGTAGTCCTTATTTTAGCGAAGCAGTTTCAGATAACTTGCCCAACATGGATGGCTTGCTTTGGCAAGCCACAGGGAAGTGTGTGTTGGGGTGTCGTGTGAAGACATTGATTCTAAAGGGTGAACTTTTGTTTTCAGAATTCAAGGAAGCTTTCTCCCTATTCGATAAAGATGGCGATGGCACCATCACAACAAAGGAACTTGGAACTGTCATGAGGTCACTGGGTCAGAACCCAACAGAAGCAGAATTACAGGATATGATCAACGAAGTGGACGCTGATGGTAAGGCTTTGTAATGATGAACCTGTGTTGTGTAATTCAAGTTCAGACGTGTATGGGATTATTGCCTTTCAGGTCCCCAGAGCAAAACAAAGTTGCGAAGGTCCTTTCTTACAGACTGTTGACAATTAATAGAGATTATGGGGCTGCCCATCACCCAGCTCACTGTCTGGAACATTTGCTGAATCGGATCACTGTGTTGTTCTTTTCTACTTGGCCTTGACTTACAGCTCAGTCTTCATCAACTGGCCCATGAGCCTACACTGAGGCCTATGGGAAAGTAAAAATAAGTAGTCATGGATTTGCTCTTTTCAAAAGCTTGTTGTCTCAAGAGGAGGCACAACCTCAAGTAAAGTGGGTGAAGAGCGCTCTTAGTGGTTCATGTACAGCTGAGTACGGCGTGAGTGTAGGTGCGTGGCTGGAGTGGTTTGAGGCTCCTGCAAGGCTTGGAGTGGGACCTGTGATGCCTGAAGAGAGTAGACCTAGAACCGAACAGATGGGGAGGCTGTGGAAGGCGTGCGGAGCCAGAGTGAGCTTGCAGCGACCACCCCCGTAGCCGTCGGCCGCCCATTCCTCTAAACTCGAACAGTGGAGAGCGGACCTTGTGCTCACTTCCTTCAGGAAACAATTGGTTTCCCCAAGATGGCTGTGTGTAAATCATGTGTGGGAATACTGTTGTGAGCATGTAACATGGTAGGGCATAATTTTAAAAGAGAAGCTAAAAAACTTAGGTGTTTTAGATCTAGACTGGACTTTGTAGATAACTGACCTGATAGTAGCTGTTTAAAAACAGATGATTTAGTAGAAATAACGTTTGCCTGGTCATACATTCAGAAACCAAAGGGCTTTGGCTAAGCTCTTTTTCAGCAGTTTCAGCCCATTTGAACTTCTTGTCAAGATTTCCGTTCTTAACTATTTGGGAAGAGGAGACTCTCATCTCTAGCTTGACTGCAAAGCTGCTCTGTGATCTGGGAAGGTGGGCTGGCCCCCTGCTGTTACCTGTAAACCTGGTGACTGGAGAGGTGTATGGTGGTCCCCCAGTTGTGCAGAGTGATGTGTGGAGAGTGGTTGAGTTGTGCTGGCTACAGAATCCAGTATTTGTGCTGAGTAGCTGGGTAGTACTGAAGGACAGCTTCTCAAGATAACACGTCAGGAAGTTTACTTTGTCTTATGTGTGTATTAACAATGCTTTAGCGTTTGGGAGGCCACAGGACTTGAGGGGCCTCTCAGTTCCGATTTTAAGGTAGTGGTGAAAATGAGTGACTTAGCCTAAGGCTTTGTTTTCTTCTGATTTTATTTCCATGTATTTCAGGCTGTACTGTTAATTTCATGGCTTATCTTGAGGGTGTTCCTCTGACTTCTTGGTTGTGTAGACCAGGAGCTGTTTGTTGCCTTCCACATGCTTTTCTAAATACTAGTGGTCTAAGCTGCGAAAAGGCGTGGCTTTAATGGGGAATAAAGGAATGACGGTGGGGGAGAAAGGTGATGAGCCGTAATGGGGCTGAGAAACGCCCCCTGGAGAAGTTTCTAAGACTGTGGCCATGGTGCAGCAGCGTCGGCGTCCCCTTTCATTGTCCTGTGCTCTCCCGAAGCAGTTTTTGTAAGTTTGTAGCCCACTTGTAGGCCGCCCTAGGCCGTTAGCCGCACCAGCCGCCAGGGCAGAGTAAGGCCGGAGGGAGCGCCCTCGTTTAGGGGAAGGTGGTTGCTGGTGCTTCCCCGCTTGGGGAGGTGTCCGGCCTGTGAGGCTGGGAGCTGCTTTTCTCTTGGACGGTCCAGCCCACTGCAGTGGCCACAGGTCCAGGGGCACCGTTTCCTGTGCTTCAGTGCTTCCGTGGGCACTGACTGGTTTTCAGGGTGAAGCCTGTGAAATGGCCTGTGAATATTGAACATTTTGGACCTACAAAAATGGAGATTTCACACAGTTCAGCTTACTGAAATAATGAGCCAGTCTGTCCGAGGAAGTGCTTCCTACCCCACACAGTGGTTGTGCAATTCTTACTCAGAGTAGCGTTCCTGGAGTGTTATCTCACACGAGCTTTCTGTTTTTTTAATTTGAGGTAATGGCACCATTGACTTCCCGGAGTTTTTGACCATGATGGCTAGAAAAATGAAAGACACAGACAGTGAAGAAGAAATCCGCGAGGCATTCCGAGTCTTTGACAAGGTAATCCTGCGTCTACGTATGAGTATGGCATTTTTGGCTATCAGTTCTAAGTGCTGTAGCAACCTGTGATGGGCAGAACACTTGGCGTAACTGCCTGAGCCTTGAAGGCTCGCTTTCAAGTAGCCCGACTTAATGTCAGTAACTTTTTCAGTAGAGAAATTTGGAACCACGTGTCTCAATGGTTCCTACTCCTGTTGGTTTTTGAATAGCCCCTGTGTTTTCTGTGTTAGCCGCTTACACGCACTTGGTAGGTAGAGGTGGGAACTGAAGGTCAGAGAGCTGGGCGAGAGCAGGGTTGGCAGTTCCCTGAGTGGGCACAGTGAGTATGAGACCTACTCGCCCACCTGAACCTCTGTCAGTAACCGAGGGATCACCGATTGTTCACAGGATGGCAATGGGTATATCAGTGCCGCAGAACTACGTCATGTCATGACAAACTTAGGAGAAAAACTTACAGATGAAGAAGTAGATGAAATGATCAGAGAAGCAGACATCGATGGTGATGGACAAGTCAACTATGAAGGTAAAACACTGACTTTGTTGAGTTTATATGTAGACTGACCTTTAGCCTCTAGAGACACGTGAACCGAGTCACTAGATGTTCACTGTTTTATTTGACACAGAGCACAGATGTTTTGTTCTATAATGCTGCTTTGGAAGATAACCACAAGTTCTAATTATTTGTCTTTTCAGAATTCGTACAGATGATGACTGCAAAATGAAGACCTACTTTCAACTCCTTTTTTCCCCCCCTCTAGAAGAATCAAATTGAATCTTTTACTTACCTCTTGCAAAAAAAAAAAAAAAAAAGTTCATTTATTCATTCTGTTTCTGTATAGCAAAACTGAATGTCAGAATCCCCTCTGTCCACACACACACACAAAAAATCTGCATGTATTGGTTGGTGGTCCTGTCCCCTTAAAGATCAAGCTACACATCAGTTTTACAGTATAAATACTTTACTACCTTAATGATAAGGAAGCACTTAGTGGACTCCTTCAAGTTCCATTTGCTAATGATTAATAACACCGTTTGGGCTGGCCAGTTTTTCATGCATGCAGCTTGACGGTTCAGCACAGTCAGGCATTTGTATTAAAAACGAAAAATGAAAATACAAATTCAAAACCTGTTCAGATGGGTTCTAGTTCAATTTGTTAGTATCAGTTGTCATAGCTGGTTTACCGAAAAGAAACACATTTGAAATCGGTTCACTTCAGGTTGATGTGCAGAGAAATGGGTCAGGGATAGCCTGTTGAGACATCGCCCCACTGGTAGGATGGTCCTCTCGTGTGCCCGTGTGCTCTGACCCGTGGGGATGGTGACACGCCCTCGTAGCATGCCTGTCTGCGTAGGCTGGTTTAAAGGCTGCGTTGTGTTTGAGTGACATGGGTGTCAGGCTGTCACCATCCACACACATTTTTAAGAAAAGAAACCTTTACCAAGGGAGCATCTGTGGACTCTCTGTTTTAAAAACCTTCTGAACCGTGACTTGGAGCTGGCAGAGTAGGCTGTGGCTGTGGACTTCAGCACAACCATCAACATTGCTGTTCAAGAAATGACAATTTACGTCCATTCCAAGTTGTACATGCTAGTTTTTTTTTTTTTTTTTTCCAATAAAAGACCATTAACTTAAAGTGGTGTTAAATGCTTTGTAAAGCTGAGATCTAAATGGGAACAAGGCAATTGTAGGGGAGGCCTGCATACAGTTAATTGCCACAGCCCAGCACTGGGCTCCCATCCCCCAAGAGTAACCAACTTCAGAGCCTAAGACCTAAAGCCAAGCAGATGCCGACCTGTAGGTCTAGTTGAATTTTCACGGGGTGGGCGGGGGGGTGAGTTACGTTAACTTTAATGACCTATTGAGGCAGTCAGCTCTTAGGAAGATAGCACTTCCTCTCAAGCATGTATTTTTAGGAGTTCTCGGTCATACTGCTGGTATCTTTTTGGTGTAACTACTTGAGACCATCTGTGCAAGAGACATGATTTAGTGTGTCTGTAATTCAGTCCTCACTGTGTGGGGTTGAGGCTGTAGTCATTTTCCTAAGCCCGTCCCCAGTCCTTTCATCCCTTTTGATTCATGATTTTTAAGTTCATTATATGTCCCTTAACCTTTTACATTTTCTAAGTTCACGGAGCTCTGGTGGTATAGTGTTTAAAGCACTTGGTTTATTAACCAAAAGGTCAGCAGTTTGAACCCACCAGCTACTCTATGGGAGAAAGATGAGGCAGTCTGCTTCCAAAAAGATTGACAGCCTTGGAAACCCTCTGGGCCCATTCTACTCTGCCCTGTAGTGTCGCCAAGAGTCAAAATTGGCTTGATGGTGGTGAGTTTGTTTTTTCTAAGTTGACTTGACTTTGCTTTTTGTCCCTCAAGTAGAACTAGTGCTAGCCTCAGCTTGAGAGAGAACTCCAGCCCAGAGTGAGTTTTGTGTCGGATTATAAGCCTGTCGCCCAAACGAAGAGATGCTGCTACTGGTTTGGCAGTGGGATTGGCCTGTGGAGAACATCCAAGTTAAAGACGTTGCATTTTTCGAAATGGAGAACGGCTGTACATTTTTCTGAGTGTTAACTGGTTGTACCTTATTAGCAAGGAGATTTGGGTTGTGCTTGTCTGTGTAGGTGGTTTTAATTTGCCAGGGAACAGTGGCAGGCTGCTTGGAGGCAGTGGGGCGCTCTTGACAGCCAGCTGGGTGCATTTAGGACTGATTATCTAGCAATGGCATCCCTCCCCCCCAGCTTCTCCCTCTCCTGCTCCCTGTCTTTCTGGCATTTCACAGCTTGTCAGATTTCCTGCCAGAGGGGTGGGTCCGAGCAGTGGAGAGGGCACACGGCCCATCTGCTTCTGTGGCTGGGCAGTTGTCAGGGGGCCAGGTTGGGAGTTAAGGGTTGGCCTTCATACTTACCTGGATCTGAAGGAACACCCAAGAATACTTTGGTGGTGGTCTTGAGGTGACACACCAGGACCGAGGACTCCCAGGATGTCTGCAGGAGGCCTTTGAGGTCATAGCCTAGATGTTTGCCATAAGTGGGCTGATGATGCAGAATCAAGGTGTTGGCTTGTGATGAGTGACCTCCCAGCAATTTTAAAGGAGGAGGACAGATTTGTTTTAAAAACTCTCACCAAGTCTTTTTCTAGAAGCTGAGGATTCAATTTTATTGTCCAACAGCCTATCCTAAGGACTACTTTTGAAACCAGATTCTTATATGGCCAGGATCCTGTTTGGGAACCAGAAACCTTTCCCCAGGGAACTCTGAGTTCCAGTTTGCAGAGGTGAGGCAGACTCGCTGGTGGCCATTTCCCTTGGCTTTTATGTGGACAGGTGGCCCAGGGCTTGGGGGTTTGAGTCTGCATTGGTTTTTGAGAGGAAATAGCTGGGTATGGGGGCAGTGCTTGTCATACTGGTTAATAATTCTGTAAACTCTTGCTCCTATTCTATAAATATATACATGTATTTATATATATAAAGTGACTAGTGTAACTGGCATCCTGCTATAGCCTGAGACTTGCCATTGAAAAAAAAAAAGAAAAAAAAAACCACCCTCTGAGTGCTTGGCAAACTCTTTCCTGGTTTCGTTCTCCATCTGTTTGGGGTAGGTTGAGTAAGGCAAATGTATCTTGACATTTCAGATGGGCTTTCGAAGCCCTGTTGCCAAGGAAGGCTTTTCTGGTTTTTGTTTTTTTTTGACAAACGGATTTTTGCACACTTGTAAGTGGTGTCTTTTGGCGACTTAAAAACACACTGAAAATGAGCTCTTGTACATATTTTTATATTCTCTTTATAAACGCATGTCTAGCTGTACCGACATCGGGACGGACGGCTGTCCAGCTGGCCTCATGCTGCCCCTTCACCGTCGGCGGGGGGAGCGTATCTGCCCCTCAGCAGCCAGAACGTCATCCTAAGCACAGAATGGAAGTAACGGTCACAACCGCTCTTTGTTCATTCGATTACTTTCAATATTTGAATTATTTATTGTATATCCTAAGTACATTGACCCTTTTGGCAGCAACTAGGTTCCACTGATGTGTATCACTCTCTTCCTTCAGCTGGCAGTTTCTATTTTCCATCCCTTGACATTGTCCTGTAGGAGACAAAGGATCTTTGCTGTCTGTCTGTCTGTCTCCCTTGGAGTAAGAAGGTAGCGGCACGGGTGGAGTGTGTGTTCTTTCTCCAACTCTGACAATGTTCACAAGAGACTTCTGTAGCAAAGTTGGCGGCAGTTCTTTTGTTAACCCTTCACCATGGCTATTTGACAAGATGTACTTGAACGTTTTTGTGAATTCTGACATGAACTGCTTGGAGATTCAACCACCTCTCTGATGGGGGACCAACTCTCTGGAAACTGTAAATAAGTTTTATTTATAAACCTGGCACTGTATTCAATAAACATTTCTGCAGCCTTTCATCTCTAACCGCGAACTGTGTAGGTTTTTAGCTTGCGTGGCTCTCAATCCCTCACGTCCTCCAACATAGTTGCACCTGGACGGTCGTGTGGAGGTGGGAGAACACCCAGAAAGACCACAGCACATCCACAGTAGCCAGAGCTGTCAGCGGAGAGGAGTGTAAATAACTGACATTTTAACCCAGTCACGTGGCCCATCAATGTATCCATGCTTGCCCTATGCAGTACGTTTACACCATAAAAGGATTCATTTCCCTTTGACTTCAGTCTCTTTAGAAACTGTGTAAATAAATACACTTTTAAAATAAGATGGGAATTTTAAATTGCGTGACAGCATCCCTTTGCCATGTCAAGAGCGGGTCAGCTGAGGAAAACGGGGTGGGAGACAACATCCATTCAGGTCTCGGGGTTGAAGCCTGTACCAGACTCGGTTCCTAGATGAGAGGCTGCTTGCTCACCATCACCTGCTTCCGGAAGGATCTTGTCCAGACTGCCTTGCCCGTGTCCTTTGCCATTCTGCACAGAATCTGAAAAGGAGAGCGACCACAGGGTAAGTGCCTGCTGTGACCAGAGGCCTAGGGATACATCTCCAGGCAGCGTTTAAGTAGCTCTTACTGTATACAGGAGCTGGGAGTACAGAATGCAGAGACAGGCACCGCCAAGAGAGAAGAGTCCTCAGACTTGAGGCCTAGCTTCCAGTTTTGATTCTGCCTCTGTAGCCTTGGGTAGGTTCCTTACCATCTCCGGGCCTCAGTTTCCTCCTTGGTAAACGAAGATGAAATAACCTCCTATCTCTGGTTTTCCAGAATTCCGACCAAGCTGGCGTGACGTCACTTGGTGTTGAAATGGACGAAAATTGCAGCCTAAAGAGTGGGAGGCTTCAAACAGCGGAAGGGTGCTGTGAGCTCTAAGATGACAAGTGAAGGTGGACTATGACAGCAGCCCTGTGCAGGGCGTGGCCTGGAGGCTAAGCTGCTGTGGAGACTTGTGATGTCAGCCTGGAATGGGGTGGGGGGGACAGTCAGAGAAACTGATGATTAAGTGACTTCCACCCTCATCCCAGAACAGACATAGGAAGCCACCCCAGAGCCTGGGAGAGATTGAGTCCAAGTGACAAGGTCATCTGGTTTGTCAGCAGTTCTGCTTCAGGAAAAAAAAGCACACACGCACGTTTCCGATTTGAACTAAAGTTCCCCGGGCACCCGGGGCTGCTGCACCCGGTGACTCAGGACGCCTTAGAAGGAAATCTAGCTCATTTTTTTTATAGCCTGGTGCTTTTCTCCCACTGCCCCCGACCCTCTGCCAAGGAGTGGGAGGAGTGAGTGTTTCCTCCCTCTCCAGCCCTGTGGCTCAGGCTGGTTGAGAGACCCTGATGAGCTGGCCAGCTTTCCCACTTGGATGACAATCTCTGAATTGAGGTTAAAAAAAAAAAAAAAAAGTGGTAGTTTCGTTTATAAGAATGATTTCTGGTCTGCCTGTGTTTCTGCAGCCTTTTGGAATGAATATGTATTTACACGTTCAGATGGTATTTCAAATGTCAGATTTAAAATTTTTTTTTTCACTTTTACAAATATAAGGGAGAAATTCAGGGTCTCCTGTAGCAAGATAATTTCTTGACTATTTTGTTACAACAGATCTCTCCATGCTGGCCCACTGCAAGCATATGGTTTACTCTTCATTTTCTTTGCCTGAGTCTTCCTATGGCCTTCAAGTTGTAACTTTTTTTTTTTTTTTTAAGTTACTGCATTTATAGCAAACAGACTGAAATCAGAATCAAGATTTGAGATTATAGATTAGAAACACCTTTTTTAAAAACTGAAAATAAAAAAAGTAATTATAAAATAATATCTTAGTTGAAAAGGTAGGTTAAAAGATATCACGTGTTATGGGTCAAACTCCCTCCCAGTCCAAGTATCCATATCTGATGGTTCTCGAGCTTTCTGGACTGTTTCCAACAACGAGAAGTCGGGTGTCTTAACAAGCAGTCTGTTCCCATTTTTATACAAATGTTTTTCTCATTCTAAAAGAAATGCTGTTAGAGTGTATAAAATTTGTGACATTGAATGACCCCACTACCTATGAATGATAATTAACATTCTAGAATTTTTCGGATCATGTGGATACAGAGATATTGTTTGTAAAATTAAGATATTTATGTGTAATTTTTTATTCAGTGTAATATTTATTATACCAAAACCAAATTCACTGCCATCGAGTCAATTCTGACTCATAG